AACCGAGAGTCGATCATTTTCGTTAGCTAGCGTTGACACCGAGCATACATTGGTGTGTGCGATAGTTTACATGCATTTCGGTGACTCACCTGGGGCCAAACAAACCCGACTGAACATCTGCAATTTGGACGACCCAACGGCGTAAAAGCAGTATCAACATACGCTTCGTGAAACTCTCACTCTCCCCCTTCTCTGGATGTCCACCAAGTTTGCAACAAGTCATGCTGGCTGCCGGCTTGTCAAGCTGCGACCCCACTAGCTGCACAGCCAAAAGCTGGATTTCGGCAAGATCCTCGGAACTGTTAAATCGTCGACGGATAGTGCACGCCGGTGCGAACCACAATGCACTCCGTCTATTTCTCAACAGCTGAACTCAAGCCTTGGCTCTGATCATAAATCCTAGTGGTCAAAAGGAACTGCAAAAATGAAAGCCGCTGCATCGGCTGGAAACTTCCGTACTTTATGCTACATCATCAGCATCACTGGTGGAAATTCACGTGCTTTGAGTCAGATGATCTGTGAATCAGAAGGCACGAAAATCAAGAAAACTGCACAGACGTTTGGATTGCTGAACAGAGCACACGGCTTCCCCAAGCACAGCATAGCCCACTGTGACACCGTTTCCCGCGAATGGTGCCTGGTCTATCGCTACAGATGCTTGTATGGAAGCAGAGATCCGAAGCGCAATCCAATCTTTGAAGCATCATAAAGCTCCCGGTCCTGACAGCCTACGCCTGGCTCTACTCAAAGAGGGGGGGAATGCAGTAGTCAGCGAAATGCCATCACTGTTCATGAGAATTTGGACTGACAAGAAAGTCTCAATTGTATGGGGAGAATCGGTCAACGTCCGATCCGAAAGAAAGGCTCCGGAGAGGATTGCGCCAAATACCGCGAAATTTCGTTGATCTATGTCGCCACCAAGATTTTCGTATCTGATCTAATCCGCAAACTTTCAGCGACTAGATAAGGCGTTTCCTGAGAGGAACGAGCGACTTTCCGTCCAAGCAGAGATTGCATTGTTCAAACCTTCAGACAGTCAACAACTAGAACTCCGTCACGTCCACTTAAAGGCCAACTATCGTAGTGTTCTTAGCGATCCGAGCGGCATTTGGCTTAGTAAATAGATCTGCGTTGTGGAATTGTGTACCAAGGAAAGGTGTGCACGACAACTTTGTAGCTATTTTAAAGGATCTCTACAGTCACACGTTGGGAAAAGTGAGAGATTACGCCACGATTTCTCCTTTGTTTGTCATCACCAGCGGCGTGCGCCAAGGTGGTCTAATTTCACTTTTCCTCCACAACTTTGACATTGAAGATGTCGTCCAACGAGCATTGGAAGGCCCTCAAAACTGTGGTATTGAGCTTCCCCCAGGGGAATTGGAATAGACCGATGATATCGCTTTGCTCGGGAATGAACCACAAGCCGTCCATAGCGCTTTGAACCGCTTAGCGATGGAGGCATCTAAGTATGGCCCGTATTTTACCCTAGGCAAACGTAAAATACTGCTCCATGATTCGCAGATTCCTGTGCCTACCCTCGCCATTGCTGGAGACGGCATGGATTAAGTCCACTAATTCCATTATCTAGGGAGTTGCAATACAGCTAGCGGCTGTATTGGAGACCAGACCTTACAACAGATACCAAAGGCCTGCCTTACATTCATTAGACTGAGACACATGGCAACGTCGCGACGTCAGTCTCAAACTCAAGGGCAGGGTACACAATGAAACTGGCCGGCCGTGAGACCTAGTCGACTCGATCGAAAAACATGAAACGATCGTCAGTTTTTGACAACTGTTGTCTGCGTAGGACTGCTCACGTGTGGTAGCACCATTACGTGAGTATCGTAGAAGTCCGAGAGCGAGTGCTTGGAGCAAACAGCCGATAACTCCAAACCTTTATTCTCCGACATGGATCCCTCTGCTCGGCCACGTATTGCGTATGCCAGCTCATCGACTTCCCCGTGGAGAGTTATGTGCACTCCCTGGAAGCGAATGGAAGAAGTGCCGCGGTGGACAACCAATGACGTGGGGAAGGAGCATGAAGAATGCAACTTCAAGATTAACATTCGTCCGACGGGTCCGCCTTTCATGATGGGGAACATGCGACTAGGAATGCGTGGTTGGAAATGCTAGACGTTATGGTGCGCAACAGACGTCAGAGAAGGTACTGTTGTTCAAGCGCATTATCTATTTGTTAGCGTCTCATAAAACAGAAAACCAAAATTTCAAATTCTCAAAACGGTTTGTGTAAAACCCAAAATATGGTTTTCTTCTCATGTATTTTATTCCCCTTTTTTCGCCATGGTACAAAAGAGACATTGCATGTAATCAGATAGTGAACATGCTGCTACTACTACTACTACTGCTACTACTACTAGGACTACTACTACGACGGGGCTGTATGAACCACATATTCATCCAGCGGCAGGTGTTAGAATGTCACACGTATCGTAGACCAGCAATAGCAATGCTCCCGCATCGATCCAATAGGTGAATATTCATCGTACCCAGTGGTCGGACACCACAGGTCGCGCCTTCAAGTAATTTAAGAGACTGTTAACGACAAAGTGGCATCCCCCATAGTTGCCCCACTTCTCCAATTTCGCTCAATTTCCTCGTTGACTTTGTCACATCCACCGGTGGCCAACAATCGTAGTGTTTTTGGACATCCGAGCGGCATTTGATTCAGTAGATAGATCTGTGTTGTGGAACTGTTTACTGAAGAAACGTGTGCCCGACAAGTTTGTAACCATTTGGAAATAACTTTACGGTCACACGTCGGACAAAGTTAGGGCCTATGGCACGCACTCCTCTTCATTTGCTGTGACCAGCGGTGTTCGTCAAGGTTGCCTCATTTCACCTTTCCTCTTCAATTTCGCCATCGAAGATCTCGTCTAAAGAACACTGGAAGGTGTAAAGGACTGCGGTGTTGAGCTCCTCTCTGGAGACAGTCACGGACTTGAACTACGCCGATGATATCGCCTTACTGGGGGACGACCCACAATCCGTCCAGAGCGCTTTGGACCGCTTAGCGATGGTGGCACATAAGTACGGCATATACCTCACTCCGGGATAATGTAAAACGCTGCTCCAGGACTGGCAGATGCCTGAACCCGCGCTCACCGTTGCTGGACCTGTCCTGGAGCAAGTCCCATTGCTTTTCTTATCTAGGGAGTTGCATCACGGCTGGGGGCGGTGTTGGACATGAAGTCTCACAGCGGATTGCAAAGGCCCGCTTTGCATTCATCAAACTGAGACACCTATGGCGTCGTCGTGATGTCAGTCTCAAGCTCAAGGGCAGGGTGTACAATGCTTCCGTCCGTGCAGTACTCTTGTACGGCTGTGAGACTTGGCATATTCGCTCAGACGACATGAAGCGCCTGTCAGTCTTCGACAATCGCTGTCTACGAAGGATTGCTCGAGCGTGGTGGCAACACTACGTAAGCAACGCGTGCTTGGGGCGTATAATGCCAGTCTTCCGGACGTTATTCTCCGACATCGCATGCGCTGGCTCGGGCACGTTCTGCGCATGCCAGCCCATCGCCTTTCACGTCGAGCGTTATTTGCACTCCCAGGGAGCGCTTGGAAAAAGTGCCGCGGTGGACAGCCGATGACGTGGAGAAGGAGTATGAAGAAGGCAACCTCAAGTTTGGCGGCAGTCGGACCAGTCCGCCTTCCAGGTTGGGGACAACGAGATGCTGAATCGCAGTGGTTGGAAACATTAGAGGTCATGGCCCGCAACAGACTTCAGTAGCGTCAACGTTGTTCTGCAATTTCACCATACTTTTGATGCACACAAAAACTCACAAAACAAAACAAAAATACAAAATGGCGTGTGTAAAACCAAAAAATAGTTTCCCATATTTTTTAATCGCATTAGTATTCCCATCTTCTTCACTTTTTTTCTTCTGCCATGGTTCTGATGGCACAATGTCTGTTAACAGACTGAATATATATATATATATATATATATATATATATTGCGGGATCAGACGATGTAGGCATTAAAATGCTGTTTGGTGGAAAACTAGTTGATCTTGAGCATACGGACAATATTCTTGCTATTTGGTAGCAGAAAGGTGCCCATTTAACAACGGATATTCTGTCTGGGATAGTCCCGTAATATGGTATGGGTTTCGCACCTTCAAATACCAGTTGTAAGCACATCAGCCATATGATACACCTTTTATTTACGGCGAAGAAAAGCTGGAAGTAGCTGAAGAATCCACCTATCGTGGTTGTTGCATTAGCAGCGATGGACATGTGGCTGTTGAAGCTAGTTCAAACACTAAAAGCCATAATCGCATCTTTGAAACTGCAACATGCCTGGAGTCAGAAAGAGGTTCCTCTCGGTTTGGAAAGTCATGTTTACAACACCAGTGAGAGCTGTCCTACTCAAGTGAGACCTGGCCCCTCCAACCCAAGAATCTAAAGCGCCTACTAGGCTTCGAATATTGTTGCCTGCGAAATATTGCTGGTGTCGAATGGCACTAGTGTGTCCGCAACGATGATATGTGCAGGCAAGTACTAAGAACAAAGTCAGGCTTGGACATGTGTTACTTATGCTCGGTCACCGCATACAGAGGTGAGCCAGTGTGGTGTTTGCACCATACTAGAAGGCTCAAATTTGGATGTTAGAAGTTAGCTTGAGTGACATACATGCATATATTCCTTTTCATCCTTTGGGTGTAAGTTTCACGTTAACGTCATGCCTCACAACATCCACAGTGCTAGTGCAAAAGGCTGAAAATATTCCCAATCAGGTGTATAAAGCTTTTTGATGATTCAGTTTATAGCTAAGTAGTCCAAAGAGTTGAATGACGTTGAACCAGTAGAACTGAAAGGCTTCAAGTCCAATCACAAAAGGGAACGAACAAAAGTCGAAAGGTTGGATGTACCAGTAAATAGTTGGATTCATAGGGGAACGAGGAGACAAAGAATTGGAGAAAAACATCCATAGCGAGCACAGGACGCAATCCCACACGTGTACTCAAACCTCAATGAAGAATGGAGGAATAAAATAATGGTGACAGACGGTAAGCACGTTTGGAGTGCTCCCAAAGAACGTCACAACTTACTCCGAGTGAACTAATCACCGGTCGTCGTGAGAGGAACGATCTCAGGAAATACCATTCTTTCTCGGTTGGACCGGATTCGTCAAACAACTGATCGGGTGACCTGGACAGATCAGCGATGGTCTTACGAGTAACCTGAAGAGCAACTAAAAGATGAAAAGAAGGGGAGTACGCATTACGCGAAAATAAAGGCTGGGAATTTATACCTGAAACTGACAAAAGGGTGTAATCTTTGAGACCTTATGGACAGCGAGTGATAAGTTTGTCATACCAAAGGGCAGACATTGTGCGATGAAGCCGTGAAAATTGAAGTTATCTGATAAGGAGGACTGAAATAAGATGCGCTTCAAATACACGAAAGAAAAAATCCCTGTACCGAGTAGTGGTTATGTGGTAAAGACACATATGACAATTCGAAATTATAAAGGCGGATAAGAGACAGGAGCTGTAGTACCACGGATAGCGCGAGAAAGCTTGTTAGGAAAGCCGAATCGTACGGCGGTACGTGGTCCTTCTTGGTATACCTCATACACAGTAACGAAGAGACTCTAATAATAGGCCTTAGTAAACCGGTGCACACCAATGCTTCCATTGTAGCACAAGCTAGCCAAAGGGTGCTTGGGATGGAGTTGCCTCATCGCCATTTTGGAAGATTAAGAAGAAAAGCGACCTAAGAAGGGGAATCAGAAACTTATTAGATGTCTGACTTCTGACGTAGTAAAGCCCAAGCTGCTGAAGCAAGTTCGAGACTATTCAAAGAGTGCCAGAAGTTCTCTACAAAGAGGGAACATCGGAAGTTGTTTCGAGAAAGATGAACAAAGGGTAATTTTTCAAAAACAGAAAATGTTTCGCGCGCATATGGTGCATTAGTTTAGACAAAACAAGTAACAGCTATTGTATAACCACTTAAAAAGCTACATATGTGTATCTGTGATAGACTGCAGAGCAACAACCCAGGAAATTGGTAGTACACAGGAGATCAAGGTTATAACTGTCAAGGGAAGATAGTAGACACAACACTACGGTTTGCAATCCCATCTAAGTATCTTCAACTGGTTGTATCCACCGACCGTCCGGATACCCTCAGTATGAAAGCCAACGGTCAATTGATGTGACTAATACTGCCTCCAATGCCACCCACAAGTTCAAAATTATGTGCGGAGATTTCAACCTACTACATGTTAATTGGTTGTTGTCCAAACCTGGGGCCACTGCGGGGATTGAGGAAATAATCTACTGTGTCCATTCCTGTGGCTGGAACCAGCATTTTAGAGCCTGCCAGAAGCACCATTATTCTAGATTTTGTATACACAATGGAGATCTCTTCTCCTTATGTATTCAATTGGCAATCCACTACAACATTGTGATCATAACGAGGTACTTTGCAACACTCGTTGAACTCCGCAAACCATAAAGTACAATGTTGGTACCTATTCGAAACCTCCAACAAGTTGATTGGCATGCATTTAATAAATGCATCAGTACTATGAATTGGGACACAGCGTCAGCAACACATAATCCAAGTGCAGTTGCTAGGGAATTTACTAACAACATTGTTGCACAGATAGATGTACTGGCACTGGTCGTATAGTGCAACATCTATAAGCACTGCGCACAACACAACCTACTAAATAAAGTCGCAATGAAATTGAAGAAAAGTAAAGGATTACATAGCAAGAAAAAGAGCTTCGCTACATTACTAAAGATGCATGAGACTCTATTATAGCTACAACGATTAGGACAAACAGTGAAAATCGACGAAGAAAAACAGGCACTTAAAGATCCCGAAAAAGTACCCGCACTGATGTATGCACTTAGAAGAAACCCTAAACCGCAAAAAGAAATCGAAACGAGGATGCTAGATAATGGTTCACTAACGAACGAGAACCGCTGCATATGCGAATTCACTAGCCGTAGTTTTGTCTCCTCCTTAGTTAGTGACATGCATAGGTCGCCCAGTCATTCCTAAGCAGAACGAACAGGCTATTCTGCAATATTCTTACTACACACAAAAAAGCGCAGAACGCCATCGCATCCTTAAAATCAGCAAGCAATTCAGGTCCAGATGGGATTGCTTCAGCTGTCACAAGACTCAGTGAGAAAAATATGTCCCTATTGCTTCTAAACATCAGCACACTATCGATAAATACAGGGTGCTTTTCCCCTCGGTGGAAACGCTTCATCATAAAGCCAGAACATAAAGATCGTGTGCGACATGTAATGTCAAGCTGTCGCTCAGTAAATTACGAAACTGCCGCTTCTAGTTCTAAAGAATAGTCAAGAGCAGCCGTTGTTTAAGTTCTAACACGACTGGACCTAATCCATGCCTTACAACATGGTTTCCTTTCAAGGCAAACCTATGTTGCCTGCCAACAACAATTTTCAATCACGTTACCATCATGACTGTTAGAGAGAGATGATAGTCATCATAGTTTGCTTAGGAATATAAAAGTAAGTTCGACCGCCACACAAACCACTGTTGTCTATGCTAGAAACATGGCATTGGAAACGCACTGCTAAGCTGGTTGAAAGAGTACCTAAAAGATCGGAACCAAGGAGTATGAAGGTGCCAACAATGTTATACGCTAAAACGAAAACCAGCGGTGTCTACCATGGAAGTGCCCTCGAGCCGCAATGTTTCTTAATCTACATAAACAACTTAAGTGAATTCAGAAAACACGCAATAACGTCAAAATGGTCCACTTACGTCTACCAGGTAAACTAAAACTGCCCGCGCTGTATGTATCTAGCGGACGTCTGCTAATGAAATTCTCTGCAAGAAAATCCCAGGTGCAGGGTTTAGATGCCGCATCTCGGGAGATTCTATCACTCTTGTCGGTAACGTAATCCCAAGGTCTGATGCAGTCCGGGGCTTGAGAATAAGGTATTCTGACTCCTTAAATCTCTTTGAGCGTAACATCTCACTAACGGTAAGCCTGAAATACAGTGTCCATTGACACCTGTTTCCGTGCTTCGATCAGACTGATCGATGCCTCATATTCACTTACAGTTGGGACATACCAAGGTGGGCGCATAGCATGCGTCAAAAGCATTCTTCATGGCACACTTGAGACAATTTCAATAGGTATTCGGCTCAACAAACTCAATCATCCCTGACAAATGGTAGATAAGCTCGTCATGATAATGCTGAACTTCGGATTGCAAATTCAAGTCACAAGTAGGAAGGTTAGTAGATAGGCGGTTCTTTGAAGCGGCAAGAGTGCGTCAGGCACGTGATCCAAATGGTTCAATAGTCTTGGACTGATGTGCGCCATCTGAAACTGTTGGCAATAAGGTCCATTAGAGTGCAGTTGATTGAATTCACTGGACACCAGGTTAAACGATGTGAACGCTGGTGTTGGGAAGCAGTGCCGTTAAGATAAAGACTGTGTTCGGCACATAGGTGCACGAGTCGATCGCAATTCTTTTCGACACGCATCAAGCCCGAAATGGCCTCCCGGATGTTGGTTACAGTTTGAAAGGCAGTCCACTATGGTATTCATAGCACCAGAGAAACTATCAAGATATTAGTATATTCGCCTCACGGAGAATAGATGTGAGTTGGCCGTAACAATCGTCCTTGACACTGGGAACTGCAGTGAGTGGTGGCCTAAGCCGAAGATATGAGTAGGCATTTAGTCCACAGACTGCGTGCTTTAACCGTAAGAGAACTTCGAATTCGAACCGCACACGTGCGACTGTTCATTGGTATCAAGCAAGTGGATTCGACACCAGACTGGACCTAAACGTGGTGTAACGGTTTGCCTACCTCTTCCACCCAGTGAGCAATGCTGTGGGGTGCCTAGGGGTCCCCTGAGAGATACTCTTATTTCGCGCACCAGGCTCCGATGGCTCGGCCATGTGGTACGCATGCCAGCCCACCGACTCCCGCGACGTGTGTTGTTTGCGCGCCGGGGTGTGGATGGAAGAAGAGGATGGCCGGCCAAGTGGTGACTTGCTCGAGAGGAATGAAGTCCCTAACTTCGGAGCTGGCCTTGGTTGGAGTTTCACGGCTCCCTGGTTGGGGTCCGAAAGATGATGAACACGTTTGGCTGGATACACTTACTGACATGGCTAGGAGCCGACCTCAGTGGCGTTCGTGTGTGTGAGTTACTTTGTCCCACCCCATCCCCTTAGTCTCCCCCTCCAACCATGATCCCACTAGTTAGCCTTAGATTATTTTTTCTGCTGAATAGTAGCCGACTTGTAGCTTACTGGAACGATGCCCATCCGTTACCGGTAGCTCAGCTGGCTTGCACCTGTTGCATTTTTCCCTTTTTCTTTTATGTATTGCGGCACAGTAGCTGAGGTGTTTCCCACCTCTAGCTAACGTGTATAATGATGATGGATGATGACACTTGCCAGATTGGTCAATGGTTAGAAGCCAGACCAAATCAGTCTCCTGGTTCCCCAGGTTTAGGGCTAGAAACGGGATAGCACCCAATTCTGTCAAACCAAATAATTGCCACATCCCTGCTGAGTTGCTGACAGACTTTTGAGCCAAAGGATTTGGCTGATAACCATAATCGTTCTCTTGTCTAGATCTGGGCGCCCTGACAGTATCTCAGATTACGTGCAACCATGACTATTTTCACAACCTTCAACCACATCCCGCATCAGCTATCGCGCAGCCATAATGGGTAGCCCTAAGTGCTGTATATAACAGGGCAGATAAGTGAAAACATGCTACTTCCAAAGGACTCCATTCCTTCCTTTCCACCTGTTTCTAACACCCCAATCAAGCTAACTAGTAGCAATGGTTCAATAGTTCCCAGCTTAACTGTCAGCAGCCGCACAGACACTGGACACCAATTGTCAAATGCCCCTCCAAAGGCCAGGCTGTCCCGTTTCCCTGGCGGCGTTCAGTTCGCATTCTGAGACAAGTAGATCAACAGACTGTCTTCGCACGCACGTTGGACATTCTGGGTAATGACGTGGGTTGCGTGTTCGACACTAGGAGCAATAATCCTCACGTGGTTGTTAAACTAACTACACGTTTCAACCTCTCGCTATTGGCTGCAGGCATAAGGAGACGTTGATGCGGTAACCACCGGTCAGGATAGGGTTAGACCTAAGGCAGAAACACCGGTGATTGATTGGATTTCCGTCTGAGCAACTGTTTGTGTGCAGCAAGTTTGACGACCCC